CTCCCTCCCTGGCGGCAGCTCGGAAGCAGAAAACTGCAGCTTCTCTCTTCGAATAGAAAAGGAATCGTTCAACCGCGTGGTGCGCCTCCACGGAACTACGGAGAACGACGTGTAGAACGTGTGAGGAAGAGGAGGCACAGCGAGCGGCGGCGGCGGCGGCGGAGGGTATGCAGAGAACGAGTTCCGATTTTAGCGCAGTCGCGGCGGCCTCAGAACGAGCGGCGCTATTATGCACTAGTAGCTTGATGGCGTCACCCGTGCAACCTTGGCTCGGGTCAGTCCTCTATCATACTGCAGCCAGAGTTCCCCTACCCTTTCGATCTTCGTTCTCTTTCTTTGTCAATCGTCGTCTCTCCCTCTCTCCCTCTTCTTTTTCCCTGTCTATCTCTCTATCTCTATGTATCTACCCATCTCTATCTTTCGCTCTGTGTCTTACATCTCACTCCTGCGCGCTTGCTCTTACATTCCTTCTCTCTCTGCTTTTGGCTCCGCTTAACCCTCTCTTTACCCGACCGCTACCTCTTCTTCTTCTCTTCGCTCACACACGGCACTAGCCACACGACCAATGGCGTAAGAATACTTTCTATTTCGAGGCATCTTCGAGTTCCTTATTTTCGTAGAACCGTTCTGCCACAAAATTTGTTACCGACAGAACATACGGTAGATTTACTCATCTTAAATGACGATAACAATGGTTGTCGAAAAAAATTAATGTGATAGTTTTATCTCTATCTCTACTCGTTATATTATAGCTTATATTTAGCTTACATATCCGTTCTTTAATGGAAACTGTTCACATGGAAGACAGTTTAAAAAAAAAAAAAAATGCATCGCCGTTATGCCCGTGACTGTGTACAACCTTCCCACAATAGCTCGTAAATGATGTTTCCAGTGCCCACAGATCGCGTATCCGATTTGACGGATCGCGCGTATGCTCGGTGCACGTTTGTGCTACGAATCACGGAATCCAGATCGACCGTCTGAGAGAGAGAGAGAGAGAGAGAGAGAGAGAAAAATGTAATCGAGACGAAACCGCGAGTGAGGTCGTCCCGAAGCATCAATCATCCGGTGACAGAAACGGCGAAGCACCGGCAAACGATGCTCCGTGGACAGCTATTAATAGTTCATTGCACGGTTAAGTACGATGTACACTTGAAGAAGCGCATTGTGAAAATGTCGATGCCACGTAACGAATTAACTACTGATCGCTGTTAATTCATAGATTTATTTCCGTCGTGATATTTCAAGCGCATGTACGTAAGATTGATCAGTGAAATAGAACTATCTTTGACCAGACCGAGCGTGCTATAGAATTCGTAGCCCACAAAGACGAGCAAGTGTTCTACGATGACTCGTTTAATTTTTTATCCGTTCAAATATAGAAACATATTTTTTTTTAATTTGAGAATGACTAAATGCATCGAATTTTTGATAAATGCTTACGGTCCTTCAAATAGGAAATACAAGTGTGTTTTCAAGTCCATGCGATAAATAGTTGATCAGATTAAAAAATAATTAATCAAACGTGGTCAAATTTCACAAGCGAGGCGACTTTTTCTTCCACAAGCAGAATGTATTAACCGAAATTAATTAATTAAATCTGTGACTAATTCGGTGACAATCTACTTCGTATTTCGATATTAGGTATAGTGGCGTCATCTGACGGAGATTGCACAAACTTAAATGACGATCACACTTTCATAACTCTAGATATTCTCCATTTAAGTTTAATTGATTATATTAAAATTATTGCTTGCGTTAAAAGAATTTTCTTTCTTTTGTTTGCAGTATCCGAGAGTTACAGCAGTTATGTAAATTCGATGTACGCCAGCGGGGCCCAATTTGCCACTCCTTGCACTCCTAGCCCACCACGGGGACCCGGTGGAGTTCCAACGAGCGTGATTCAAGCAGCAACCAGTTCAGTTTCCGATGACTTGTATCTGCTGGAATTAGGTTTTCCCCCACGGTCGAAAAAGAACAAGCTGAAAAAGCCACGCCAAGGGGATGGCGCCGCGGTGAAGAGGAAATCTCGCGAGGGTTCAACGACGTACCTATGGGAGTTCTTGTTAAAGTTGCTACAGGATCGAGAGTACTGCCCTCGATACATCAAATGGACGAATCGTGAACGAGGTGTCTTCAAACTGGTGGACAGCAAGGCGGTCTCTCGCTTATGGGGTTTGCACAAGAATAAACCGGACATGAATTACGAAACGATGGGCAGAGCTCTACGTTATTATTATCAGCGTGGTATACTGGCGAAAGTGGACGGGCAACGGTTGGTCTATCAGTTTGTCGACGTACCGAAGGATATTATAGAAATTGACTGTACCGGCGCGTGAGACAAGATTCGTCCTTTGAGGGAACAACAGCATGAGAGGCGAGCTGTACGGGAAAAGAGTGATTTGTGTATTCGTGCGGCGATCTTTCGCGAGAACACATATTTTTCATTGTCATCGCCGTTGTTCTCGTCGAGCAGCTCTTCCTGCCACACAGTGTGCCCGTTTGGTACACCCCTCAGACGACTTAAAGTCTAAAGCATGCCCTCTCTCTGACTTCGTTTGTTCCTTGTATTATAAATTCATATATACTGTAGACTGTATGTATAGTAAATCGCGAATAGCACACGCGCATACGCATTAATGCTGCGCGCGAGAGGATGAATATTTTGTTTCTATTGACGCGATAGCTGCCACGATATACGTATACAATTATATCGTAATTTCGTCCTTCTTTGGTCTTTCTTTTCTTTTTTTTTTTTTTTTTGTGTTACTCCTTGATGGCAAACGATGGTAATCGTACTAAGCTTTACAACGTTTAATACATACATACATATATATATAATATATGTGTATATGTATACGTTGAGCTCGTTCAAATTTGTACAAAATTTAGTTCTTAAAAATGCTACGGCACAAGTGTTATTAAATATATTTTAATCGAAAGTAAACAAAGAAAAGGAAAAAATAACATGAACCCATTACTTAACGTGTAGCCGGGCTGTAGGCAAACGATTGTACATTCAAGAACGCGATAAATTATTTATTGTATATTAGACGATTATGTATGTTACCTAGAACGAAAACAAAAAAAAAGAAAAAGAAATTGTTATATAATGTGTCGAAGGGAACCATAAGAAAGCAAAGGGGAAGTAAAATTTATAAAGTGCATGCACGCGAACGTGAGAAGTTTAATGATAAAGAAAAAAAAAAACGAAACGAAATGAGGGCTGTGAAGAGATTCAGAAAGGAGGAAAATATGATAGTGTGGAAATGATAAAGATGTTTAAAAAGTTTTACGGAGCGAGCTCAGGGAGAGGTACACACATATACAAACACACATCTCTACACTACACGCCTACACAAACATACACGTACACACAAGCATACACGCACACTCTGTTTACACACTATATTTTTTTAAATATAAGCGAAAAAAAAGGGCGACTCTTCTATTTGAGCTGAGGGTTCAACAATGTAAGGTGCTGGCTATACACACGAGGTCCAAGAATGTTATTTAGCAAGCTAGTTACTAATTCTTTAAAAAAAAATTATTGAAACAGACATATATCTCTGTATATATAAAAATACACCTTTAGTATATATATTATTGAATATTATATATATATATATTATATGAATATATATTGTATGTTATGTAGTAAATGGAGCGAGTTAATGTGTCTATGAGATTTTTCTGTCACGTCTGCGTAGAGGGAAGTTTAAGTAACCGTCTATCTGTACGATGCCTCTATTCGTGTCTTTATATATTTATAAATATATGAAGAAAAGAAAAAAAAGAAAGAAAAAGAAACAAACATGTGGAAGCATTATTGTTTTTCCTTTGTGTTGTTTTTTACAAGATTTCGATACTGGGATCAAACGCTAAGGAATCAATATGCATGGTCAGCGATTTGATTACATGACCCGCAAAGAAAAAACGCACATCCGCATGTTTCTCATGCTCAGCTAGAATCAGAGGCATCGTACTTTTCTAAATGTTTAGAATGTAATAGCCTTCCTGATGTACGGGGCAGAGTGTTTGGAATATGATAAGTTAGAAAGAAAATTAATTTATTGAGCAGCAGCCCGCCCCTGAATACGGACGTGACATGCGAGTGCAAGCGTATCCTATAGAAATAAGTTTTGTACATAAAGATTCGTTGAGAGCATACTTAGGAAGAACATTACGCTGGTTAAATCTTTGTAAACATGGACAAAAAACAGAAAGAAAAAGAGAAATAAGTGAGATGGAGAGAACAAAAGAGATAAGAGCGGGATACACCATCAAGGTGTAGCTCCTCGTGAAGTTGTTCTTTTTGATGATCACCTCTAAAACATTTCAAAGAAGAACAGTAAATAATAGAAAAAAAAAAAACGATGAAGTGCTGCCAATAATGCCTGTAAACAGTCCCTTGCATTCTTTTTTGTCATGTAAAAGAAGAAAATGATGAAAGAAAGAATGATTATAAAACTGATTGTAAAAAGGATTAATACACGCCGTTTATTAAAATCAAGAAGAAATGTCTTGGGACGCCAGACATACCAGATGATACAAAACGAATTGCCTTCTTGTAATTAACAAAAACGTGTTGCCTTCTAACAAAAAAAAAAAAACATATTAAAAAAAGTTCTAGCAATTTGTATTTGTAATACCATTGACTTTGTCCGGGTACTTAAAGAAAACTTTTAACGCTGTGTATCATACTCCCTTTGTCAGCATAGAATTTTGTAATTTTTGTCAAGAGAAATATAATAATAATAACGATAATGATAATAGTAATAATGGGAAAAAGATAAAAAAAAAAAATTGAGAAACGTTTTTGGTACACGAAGACTTTTTTCATATCGCACTTTGCATACACGTATCAGATGAAAAATATACTTAAAAAATATAATAAAAAAAGATAAGCTGAATATAATGAGAGAGAGAATGAGTGAATGAGAGAATGAAAGGGAGAGAGAAGGAAAGAGAGAAAGAGAGAGAGAGAAAAATTAAATACATCAGAGTACAATGGATAAAAAAGCAAGTACCTATAAATAGTACCACTTCTATACATAACATCCACTTATAAACAATGAATGGACACTGCAACAAAAAAAATCCTATTTTTAGGTAAATTAAATTTACATATACATAACGATTGACTACGCTACAAGATATTTTAACAAATAAGACTTTACTGTAATAGGGATAAATCTATAATTATTTGTAAAATAATACGAAGACACGATGGATTGACGTAAGAAACTCTAATGTAACGTTCTGTGATTCGTTGTTTGTAGGTGAAATTTAATAAAAGATTACTGTATCATAATTTGATTATTTTCTAAACCCTTTTCCCCGAATAACGAGAAAAATTTATCACTACGCGTCGCTAGATGTAAAATCAGATTTAATTTTCGTATACAACCATCGTATAGACTAAATAACGAAAACAAGTAAATCAAAGTTCTTTTTTTTTTTATCAAAGTAGAAACAAGATAAGATAAAATTGTCAAAGTTTCTCATTGAGGTTTGGAAATTGCTTGTTAGGCTGATTACGCTACAGTGACGTAATAGCTATATATAAAAGTAATTGATAAGCACACGCATCTAAAGAAGAGCTTTCATTGGTCTGGCGCATCATTGATCGACCAATCAGTGACGTTGCTTCAGGGGAAACTATTTCGCTGACTTATACACACACAAGTAATCTCAGTTAGTGTCGAACCTCAAGGAACGTCACTGTCAGCGTCGGATTGCGTTCAAGAGAATTGTACGAGGTACGTATTGTTTTTACATTGTTTCTACATTGTATCTCAACAATCAGTCAGATTTATAATTGTGAATCGACGTCGAAAACCAGGCGCTTTACTAAGGCTTTAATTATTGATTTCGTTACATCAGTCAACCTTACCACACCCCGTGGCCATTTTGGATAGTAGAGAGTTATTTGTTGTTGGACAGTAAGCATTGTTCGAGATGGATCAAATCACACCGAAGGAAGTGAAGATCCTGGAAAATCCCGAGGATATTCAAGAAAGGAGGGAACAAGTTCTCAGTCGATATGCGAATTTCAAGGCGGAAGCTAGAAACAAAAGAGACAAACTCGAGGACTCCCGTCGCTTTCAAGTATATTCTTCATGTTGTTTCTTTTTTATTTTTACCTGACTCTTATCACGTTCACGTTGTTAACGACACTCGATCGTTCGTAGTATTTTAAGCGAGACGCGGACGAACTGGAAGGATGGATTTTCGAAAAGTTGCAAGCTGCTTCGGATGAGAGCTACAAAGATCCTACCAATCTCCAGGCAAAGATACAAAAACATCAAGCCTTCGAAGCGGAAGTTGCAGCCCATTCGAACGCAATAGTATCGTTAGACAATACCGGATCGGAAATGATAGCACAACATCACTTTGCAAGCGACGTCATTCGCAAGAGATTAGGTTAGTCGTCAATATCGAATTTATTTAATCAACTCGCAACTTGAAATTAATAATTAAGTACATTTTGTAGTGGATCTTCATCAGCTGTGGGAGTTGTTACTCTCTAGATTGGCAGACAAGGGTCTTAAATTGCAACAAGCCTTGGTACTTGTACAGTTCATTCGACATTGTGACGAAGTAATGTTTTGGATTCACGACAAGGAAGCGTTTGTAACGACGGACGAATTTGGACACGACTTGGAACACGTTGAAGTGCTTCAAAGGAAATTTGACGAATTCCAAAAGGATATGGCCAGTCAAGAGTACAGAGTAACGGAAGTAAACGAATTGGCAGACAAACTTCTTCTAGATGGACATCCTGAACGTGATACCATCCTGCGTAGAAAAGAGGAACTCAACGAATCCTGGCAAAGATTGAAACAGCTTGCTGTCCTGAGGCAGGAGAAACTTTTCGGCGCGCATGAAATTCAAAGATTCAATCGGGACGCGGACGAGACAATGGCCTGGATTGCTGAAAAGGACGTTGTTCTGTCTTCAGATGATTTCGGACGTGATCTTGCGAGCGTGCAAACTTTGCAGAGAAAGCACGAAGGCATAGAGCGTGATTTGGCAGCTTTGGAGGATAAAGTTTATACACTAGGAGCCGAGGCAGATCGTCTCGCAGCCATTCATCAAGCAGACCATTCCAAACAAATTCAAGCGAAACGCGCCGAGATATTGCAGTCGTGGGAGAGCCTAACGGCGAAAGCGAAGGAACGTCGTTTGAAGCTTGACGAATCATACTACTTGCACAGATTCTTGGCTGACTACAGAGATCTTGTGTCGTGGATGAACGACATGCGCGCGATTATATCGGCAGATGAATTAGCCAAAGACGTAGCTGGTGCAGAGGCTCTTGTTGAGAGACATCAGGAACACAAGGGAGAAATCGATGCTAGGGCAGACAGTTTCGACGCGACCACCCTGGCTGGCAACAAACTGTTAGAAAAGAAACATTACGCTGCAGAGGAAGTAACCAGAAAATTGAACTCTCTCGCCGAGGATAAACAGTCTCTTTTGAGTCTTTGGGAAAAGCGAAAAATCTTGTACGAACAATGTATGGACTTGCAGCTATTTTATCGAGACACGGAACAAGCGGACGCGTGGATGGCTAAGCAGGAAGCATTTTTAGCAAACGAAGACCTGGGTGACTCTTTGGACAGTGTAGAAGCTCTTATTAAAAAACACGAAGATTTCGACAAATCACTGGCAGCTCAGGAGGAGAAGATCAAAATATTAGACGACTTTGCCGGTAAACTGATAGAAGGGGAACATTACGCGGCGGACGACGTGGCGCAGAGACGTCAGCTACTGTTGGAGAGACGTGCCGTTCTTCTTGAAAAGTCGGCTCAAAGAAGACGCCGTTTAGAAGACGCTTATAAATTACAGCAATTTGAACGCGACTGCGACGAAACGAAAGGTTGGGTCAACGAAAAACTCAAATTCGCCACCGATGACAGCTATCTGGATCCTACTAATTTAAACGGAAAGGTACAGAAACATCAGAATTTCGAACAGGAACTGAACGCCAACAGAACTCGCATGGAAGAGATGGTAGCTACCGGTCAAGAATTAATCGAGAGTGATCACTACGCCAGTGATAGGATCCGCACTCGTACCGACGAAATCATGTCTCTGTGGGAAAGTCTTACTCACGCTAGTGAGAAAAAAGGGGCCAAACTGCAAGAAGCCTCTCAGCAGCAACAATTTAATCGTACTGTCGAGGATATCGAGTTATGGCTGTCAGAAGTGGAGGGACAATTGATGTCTGAAGACTACGGTAAAGATCTAACCAGTGTACAAAATCTTCAAAAGAAACACGCCCTTCTGGAAGCCGACGTCGCGTCCCACTCCGACAGAATCGACAGTATCGCCCAAGCTGCAGATCAGTTTGTGAAATCGGGGCATTTCGATGCAGACAATATCAAAGCTAAGCAGGAGCAACTGCAATCTCGATACGGTGCGCTTCAACAGCCCATGAGCATTCGCAAACAGCGACTTCTCGACTCGCTGCAGGTACAACAGCTGTTCAGAGACATAGAGGATGAAGAAGCTTGGATCCGCGAGAAAGAACCAGTTGCAGCATCCACCAACCGTGGTCGTGACCTCATCGGTGTGCAGAACCTGCAGAAAAAGCATCAAGCTGTTTTAGCTGAAATAAACAACCACGAACCACGTGTAGCTGCTGTCTGTCAGGCAGGTGCGTCAATGTTACAAGAAAGCCACTTTGCCGCGGAGGAAATCAGCCAACGTTTGGCCGCGTTGGACGAGCATTGGGGACAGTTGAAAGAGAAGGCCAGACAACGTAAGAATGATCTGGATGACTCTCTCCAGGCTCATCAGTACTTTGCCGATGCTAACGAAGCCGAGTCCTGGATGAAGGAGAAACGACCTATAGTCATGAATGCCGACTACGGAAAGGACGAAGACAGTTCCGAGGCCCTCTTGAAGAAACACGAGGCGTTGGTTAGCGACCTAGAGGCGTTTGCAAGCACCATAGCAGCTCTTAGAGAACAAGCTGCTTCTTGCCGCCAGCAAGAAACTCCAACTGTTGACATTACCGGGAAAGAATGCGTGGTGGCTCTCTATGATTACACAGAGAAATCACCAAGGGAAGTTTCCATGAAGAAAGGCGATACTTTGACTCTGTTAAACTCCAACAACAAGGATTGGTGGAAAGTCGAAGTTAATGATCGTCAAGGTTTTGTTCCAGCCGCTTACGTAAAGAGAGTCGAACCCGAAGCAGGATTAAGCGCTTCTCAGCAGAATCTTGCTAGAGAGCAGAGTTCTATAGCTGCCAGGCAAGCTCAGATAGAAGCTCAGTACGACGATCTCTTGAGACTTGCCCGCGAGAGGCAAAACAAACTTAATGAAACAGCCAAGGCTTACGTGCTTGTCCGAGAAGCCGCAGAATTGGCCACTTGGATCAAGGACAAGGAGAACCACGCTCAGGTTCAGGACGTTGGCGAGGATTTAGAACAAGTGGAGGTAATGCAGAAGAAATTTGATGACTTCCAGGCAGACTTGAAAGCCAACGAGGTTCGTCTAGCTGAAATGAACGAGATTGCTGTCCAGTTGATGAGTCTAGGCCAGACGGAAGCAGCTTTAAAGATTCAGACACAGATACAGGATCTGAATGAGAAATGGACCAGCTTGCAGACTCTCACTGCAGAACGTGCTAATCAACTTGGTTCCGCTCACGAAGTTCAACGATTCCATCGTGACGTCGACGAGACCAAGGACTGGATTCGAGAGAAGGATGCTGCGTTGAATAACGATGATCTTGGAAAGGATTTACGTAGCGTTCAAGCCTTGCAACGCAAACACGAAGGCCTAGAGCGAGACTTGGCTGCCTTGGGAGATAAGATTAAACAGTTAGATGAAACGGCTAATCGCCTGATGCAGTCGCATCCTGAAACTGCCGAACAGACTTACGCCAAGCAGAAAGAAATTAACGAGGAGTGGACCCAGTTGACAGCAAAAGCTAATAGCAGAAAGGAGAAGCTGTTGGATTCTTACGACCTGCAACGTTTCCTTAGTGACTACAGAGATCTAATGGCTTGGATAAATTCAATGATGGGTCTAGTCGCTTCAGAGGAGTTAGCTTCAGATGTTACTGGCGCAGAAGCTCTTCTGGAACGACATCAGGTGAGCTAATTAATTAAGAAACTGTCAATACTGAAATGATCCAGTGATCACACTGTCGTTCACGAGTCATTCATAAATTATAGAGTCACAGAGCAGAGATAGACGCACGATACGGCATACTTCCACAGGTATTGAAGAATTTAAAAGAGCATGGAACAAAACTAGGCGACTTTGCCTCTCAATACGTTCTTTATAATTAATCATCTTTAGTCATATTTTTTTCTGTTGCTAAGTCTCTTTTTTATGGAAAAAAAGAACAGAAATTAGTAATGAAGATGCCGCCTTATTAACATCTATGGAGTACTATCAACGCTTCTTACAGTGATCTAACGCGATCGCTTCCTTTTCCGCTTATCATAATTCTCTCATTGTCGAGTGGATTGAAATACGTGCAGAATATGCGTGTGGATTTATAACGAGATTCTTAAACTAATTCATATGAATTCATGCAACTCTAATTTCCTTTTTATATTGTAGGAACATCGCATGGAAATCGACGCCAGAGCAGGTACTTTCCAGGCCTTTGAGCTTTTTGGCCAGCAGCTTTTGCAATCCAGTCACTATGCCAGTGTCGAGATTCAAGAGAAACTTGAATCTATGGCCGAAGCACGCCAAGAATTGGAAAAAGCTTGGATACAACGACGTATGCAATTGGATCAAAACCTGGAGTTACAACTTTTCTGCAGAGATTGCGAGCAAGCTGAAAACTGGATGAGCGCCCGAGAAGCTTTCCTGAGCAGTGCTGACACTGTTGACAGCAGTGACAACGTAGAGGCCCTTATCAAGAAACACGAGGACTTTGACAAAGCCATCAATGCTCACGAGGAGAAGATTGCTACTTTGCAGACTTTGGCAGATCAATTGATCGCTGCTGAACATTATGCTGCAAAACCAATTGATGAGAGGCGTTGTCAGGTTCTAGATCGCTGGAAGCATTTAAAGGATGCTCTTATAGAGAAACGTTCCAAGTTAGGAGAGTCCCAAACTCTACAACAATTCTCCCGCGACGCCGATGAAATGGAAAATTGGATTGCCGAAAAACTGCAATTGGCTACCGAGGAGAATTACAAGGATCCAGCTAATATTCAATCGAAACATCAGAAACACCAAGCGTTTGAGGCTGAATTGGCAGCGAATGCAGACAGAATTCAATCTGTGTTAGCCATGGGAGGTAATTTGATCGAGAAACACCAATGTGCTGGTTCTGAGGATGCTGTTCAGAAGAGGCTTGCCTCGATTGCCGATCAATGGGAATACCTTACCCAGAAGACTACAGAGAAGTCGATGAAGCTGAAAGAAGCTAACAAACAACGCACGTATATCGCCGCTGTTAAAGACCTAGATTTCTGGCTTGGTGAAGTAGAGAGCTTACTTACGTCTGAGGATGCTGGTAAAGATTTAGCTTCTGTGCAAAATCTAATGAAGAAACATCAGTTAGTCGAAGCCGACATTCAGGCGCATGAAGAAAGAATTAAAGACATGAACGCACAGGCAGATTCTCTGATTGAAAGTGGACAGTTTGACGCAGCTGGTATCCAAGAGAAACGACAAAGTATAAACGAGCGTTACGAGAGGATCCGCAACCTTGCTGCCCATAGGCAAGCTAGACTAAATGAAGCAAACACTTTACATCAATTCTTCAGAGACATCGCCGACGAAGAGTCTTGGATCAAAGAGAAGAAATTGTTGGTCGGATCGGATGACTATGGTCGTGATCTTACCGGTGTGCAAAATTTGAAAAAGAAACACAAGAGATTGGAGGCAGAATTAGGTAGCCACGAGCCTGCTATACAAGCTGTTCAAGAAGCTGGAGAGAAGTTGATGGACGTTTCTAATTTAGGAGTGCCCGAAATTGAGCAACGTTTGAAGCTTCTCAACCAAGCATGGGCTGAATTGAAGCAATTAGCGGCCAATAGAGGACAGAAACTGGACGAGTCTCTGACCTATCAACAATTTTTGGCTAAAGTAGAAGAAGAAGAAGCTTGGATCACAGAGAAACAGCAATTGTTATCAGTCGAAGATTACGGTGACACCATGGCTGCGGTTCAGGGCTTATTGAAAAAACATGACGCCTTTGAAACTGACTTTGCGGCTCATGGCGAACGTTGCAAAGACATATGCGAAGCCGGAGAAGCTTTAATCAAGGCTGGAAATCACCGTGCAGACGCTATAGGACAAAGATGTACCCAGCTTCGTAACAAATTGGAACAACTTGGAGCACTTGCTGCTAGACGAAAGACACGACTTAACGATAATTCAGCTTATTTGCAGTTTATGTGGAAGGCAGATGTAGTCGAATCCTGGATCGCTGACAAGGAAACTCATGTACGTTCAGAAGAGTTTGGACGAGACTTGTCTACCGTTCAGACGCTATTGACTAAACAGGAAACATTTGATGCCGGATTGCATGCCTTTGAGCACGAAGGAATTCAGAATATTACTTCTTTAAAGGAAATGCTAGTGGATTCTGGTCATGATCAAACACCTAGCATTCAGAAACGTCATGCGGATGTTATTGCTCGTTGGCAGAAACTGTTGGCTGATTCTGATGCGAGAAAACAACGCTTGCTGAGGATGCAAGATCAATTTAGGCAAATTGAAGAATTGTATTTGACATTTGCCAAAAAAGCATCTGCTTTCAACTCGTGGTTTGAAAACGCAGAAGAGGATTTGACCGATCCTGTGCGATGTAACAGTATTGAAGAAATTCGGGCCCTCAGGGAAGCACACGCGCAATTCCAGGCGAGCTTATCTTCGGCAGAAGCAGACTTTGAAGCTTTGGCAGCTCTTGACAGGCAGATCAAGAGTTTCAACGTTGGTCCCAATCCATACACGTGGTTCACGATGGAAGCATTGGAAGACACCTGGCGTAATTTACAGAAAATAATTAAAGAACGCGATGTGGAGCTTGCGAAAGAAGCTCAACGACAAGAAGAAAATGATAAGTTGCGTAAGGAGTTTGCTAAACACGCTAATGCGTTCCATCAATGGTTAGCGGAGACAAGAACATCTATGATGGAAGGATCGGGATCATTAGAACAACAGTTGGAAGCGACGAAAAGAAAAACTCAAGAGGTTCGTGCTCGTCGTCAAGATCTGAAAAAGATCGAAGATCTCGGAGCAATTTTGGAAGAACATCTGATCTTGGACAATCGTTACACGGAACACAGTACCGTAGGGTTGGCACAACAGTGGGATCAATTAGATCAATTGGGAATGCGCATGCAACACAATTTAGAACAGCAAATACAAGCGCGTAACCAGTCCGGCGTTTCTGAGGATGCACTCAAGGAATTCTCAATGATGTTCAAACACTTTGACAAAGACAAGAGCGGTCGTCTGAACCACCAGGAATTCAAATCTTGCTTGAGGGCCCTTGGTTACGATTTACCAATGGTAGAAGAGGGCCAACCTGATCCGGAATTCGAGAATATCTTAGGTATGTTTGTTATATCACTAAATACATTAGACGTCAAATAGATGTTTCCGTTTATATATTGAAACAGTGCAATATATTATCTTTTTGGTTTATTTTCTTCTTTTTTTTTTTTTAGATATCGTTGATCCGAATAGGGATGGTTATGTATCGTTGCAAGAATACATGGCATTTATGATTAGCAAAGAAACCGAGAATGTCCAGAGCTCTGAAGAAATAGAAAATGCTTTCCGTGCTATCACAGCTGCGGATCGGCCATACGTTACGAAAGAAGAATTATATGCTGTAAGTATAGAATTTTCAAATACACGATTATACAGTTACTACATATAATAAAATAATAATAATAATAATATCTTTAGAATCTTACCAAGGAGATGGCTGATTATTGTGTTGCTCGTATGAAACCTTATGTCGATCCAAAAACAGAGCGACCAATCACAGGAGCATTGGATTATATCGAATTTACTCGCACTCTTTTCCAGAATTAATTGTAGTTACATAAATTATTCCTTTTTTATTATGAGTTATTAAATTATATAAATATGTTGCAATTGAATTGTTGGATGCTTATTTTATTAAACACTTTCAATACCACATATATGTAATTATTTATTATTTACACTACTTTGTATTAACATATATGCTAATGAAGAATCATGAAAAATAAATTATACTCTTTATGTATAACGATCTATATTTACAATACCAACAGTTAAATATACAGTAAAGTTTAAATAAGAAAAGATATAAAATCGAACATGGTGTTTTATCTAGCTGCTTTTTTATTAGATTTTGGTAAAAATCTATTTAATACCCCATAATTCTTTTGAGGTTCTGTTTTTCTTGTATCTGACTGTCTGTCTGTTTGACGAAGCATATTAATAGTTTCCTAAAATAAAAAAAATTCTAATATCACGATATGTGTGTATTAAAAAAAAAATCAGTTACCTTTCGATTTAGTTCTTTCAAAATCTTCTTAGTCTTAATCACTTTAGCTGTTCCTCCTTTTCCTTTAGCTTTCGTTCTGCGAGGTTTGAAGTCGATGTTCTTTGGTTTGAGATACTATAAAAATACATAAATAACAATTACTATAAAATTAAAATAACTTAATTCTATTAATTACTCACCAAAAGATTCTTTGTAGCTTCTATTTTATTTTTAAAAGTAGGTGTATCTACTTCTGCTATAGCAACTGGATCCAAACATATTAATTCCGGCTGAATCTTGTCTAATAAAGCTTTTACTTCAGCTTCACGTCTCTGAGTTGTTGTTTGGAATGGATTAGTTTCAAGACCATCGAAGTTAGGTTCTCCACTTCCAGGTATTAAAAGAGAAGATACTTCTCTTATTGTACCAATACCTAAAATATCTTCGTATGGACAAAACTGCATGCTTGTTACAGTCCAATCAGCTCTATGACGCATATAAGGTTTCATTTCATCGGTTGATGACCTGACAATAAAATTACAAACATACATAAATCTTTCTTACTATTATATAGATATAAATTATAGTATAATATTTATATACCGATAAATTTCTACAACATTTCCCATTGCCATTGCTAATTGGCCAGTTTGACTGTAAGACAGATGTTGAACAGGAGCGCGTACATAATAATTATGCACGGGACCTGCTAATTGTCTGATGTCCCATATTTTCACGGATCTATCTGGACAACTAGTTGCCATATATGTTCCATAAGGATGAACTGCACAGGCAGCTACTGTTTGAGTATGGCACAACATTTTTGCCAAAGGATTCTTATTGTTTGGAGACCACATGGAAACCACTCCTTTTGAATCACCCACACATAGCACAGCATTACTAGGATTTTGTGTCATTACCTATAAAACAACC